CGGGGGGCGCGGCGGCACCGGCCGCCTATTGGCTGCGGGATGTACGCTCCAGGGTGCCATTCGCTATCGACCGGGCGGAGGCGGTGGGAGGAGGCGGCGGGAGGAGGCGGCGGGGACACAGCTGCTGTGTCACGGCCAGCTGGAGGCGCCCCGTGGACCAGGATGCTGCTGGAGCGGCCTCTGCCTGAGCGCCATCCATCTCCCTCGCTCGCTGGACGTCCGTCCTGGAATGACACGGGACGTCCTGAGGACGGTCCTCCAGCGGCGGCGGCTCACTGCTGGGCGGCACCTGGGGCGCTGCTGGCGATGACGCGCTCCCCGCGGGGCTGTCTGTCGCCCGGCATGCCCCCGTCCCCCACGACGTGCTGCTGGGCGAGGCTGGCGCGCGGCGTCCCTCGGCCGTCCTCCAGGACGATCCGCGTGTCATTAGCATATGAATGTGCTCTGCGTGTCTGTCCGTCATTGAGCACCTCTCAGGGCCGCGGACAGTCGCGGGGGAGAGGTGAGGAGGAGAAGGGGAGGGGAGGGAGGCGTGCTCCACCGGTTTCGTGTCACATCTGCTCTTTGCTCTTGGCTGCTGTGGCGTGGTGGAAGCTGCAAAGGAACGCGATTGGTCCTGGCGCCTCGGCATGCAACCCGAGCCGTAGTCCGACAGAACGGACTGCGTGCCGAACGCAATAAGGCGGTCAAGCTCACCCGGCCAGGATGCGGGGGAGGGGCCGAGCGGGGCAGAGCGGCAGGGACTAGCAGCCGTCTATGACTGTCATTCATGAGGTGACTATTTCAGGCGGCGGAAGGGCCCCTGAGGCAGTAGGCGTGATGGCAACCCTTTCCTCCCCTCTCCCCGGCCGCCACCCTCCCACTCCCACATGCGGCCCCAGCAGATACTGATGGCGATAAACGTGCGCGGGGCTTATTTTGGGGAGGAAGACATTCATTAATCCCGTGACGAATGAATTTATAATTTCGTGAATAGGAAGGATTTGGACTCTCCTCCTGCTTCGCCTTCCGCCCGCTTGGAATGCTGCGCGCTGCAAGAGTGCCTGCCTGTTGGCCTTGCTCGTGGCGTGGCCGGCCGGGCCCCGGGCCCGGGGCCGAGTGAAGTGATTTCCGTGACTGGATTAACCACATCATCACAACTGGGCCCGGCCGGCCGGCTGCCAGCAGTTTGGGTAAACAGACAGAGTTTATCTGTGCATCTATCGGAGGGCTCGCCGGGCCGGGACAGGCCGGGTGTCAAACGTGGAAACGTCTCAATCCCACTAAAGTGCACGCTGGGCTCTGCCGGGCTGCAGCAGGGCCACAGGGTCCATGGCGGGGGCCTTAATGGGCGCGACGCGGTGCAGTGACGGTGGAGTGACGGCTGCATCCGGCGAGCACCCTGACGGGCCGCAGGATGCCCAGGAAGGCCCTAGAAAGGGCGGGAAGCGGGAGAGAGGAGGCGAAGGATGGCGGCCTGCACTAAGAGGAATTCCCCTGCGCTTGGGAGTGCGTGGGGGACGCGCCGAGCCGCGCGGTGACAGCCCGCGGATTTGATTCATTGAGTGCTCAGTCCGCAATCAGGCCGACTCCTGCCTCGGACTTGCCGCGGACTTGAACAGCGCTACTCGCGGCCGAGCCTCCCCACCCGAGCGGCCCGAGCGGAGAGCCGAGTCGGCTCGCGCCCGGCCGAGCCCGAGCGGGGGGGTGGAGCTTTCGGAGCCGGAGCGGGCCGAAGGCGTTGCCAAGGCGACCCGAACGCACCACAACAAAGAGTGGGGGGAGGGAGGCTGGGCTACGGAAATAGCCGAAGGCGTCCCCCCTCCCCTCTCCCCGAGCGCGCGGCACAGGCCCTGCCCCAGCCCCCCGCTCTGGCAGCCGCGCCGGCCTCGCCAGTGCTCCGCGACCGCTCGAGCAGTCCGTGTCGCACGGAGAGGCTGGGCTGCGTCGTGTCGCGTCGTTCGCAACCCCTTGTGTGTCAACCACCCACCCCCACCCCCTCGCTCCCTTCCCCCAGTGGTGTGTTTGTGATTGTGACAGCCCCAGTGTAGTGCTTCAGTGTTTGTTCGTGCGACATTAAATTCTGTGACAGGGGCCAAAGTGAACCGGGTTGGCTCCCTGTGTTTCGCGCGTGTGTTGAGTGCTCCGATTCAATTCTTTAGTGTGCAATTTTGTTGTTTTCGGTGATTGAAAACTAAGGTAGGCAAGAGTACCGGCAGTTTGTTGTGAGTGTCAGTGAAGTCAATCAAAAGTGAGAAATAGAAGGCAAAGTGAATGAGCGAGTGCAAGTGCAAGTGAAGTGGTGTGGAAGTTCTTCTACCCGACGCCCTCTGGAGCTACTCGTCCAGGATATAACCGCCTCTGGATTGTCCAACTCATCTGGTTCAGGATACCAACAAACGCAGCTTAATGGATTAAGCTTTATGTCGACGGTGTTGTGATGTGTCTGGGGCGTGCAATACAAAAGGGTGTGTCTTAATGTCCCGGGCGATTGTCTCTACCGAACATCAGTCCCGATGTTGTGAGAACACACTGGGCACGATACAACGGACTCGCCAGCCATCGGTGAAGACTGTCAACGGGTTGACGGCAGTACTCGATGTCATGTGAGGACACTGACGCGGCAACGACTGAATTTTGCACCTTGACCTTAAAATGGTTCAAATTGGCGCAAAGGCCGTCACTGCGTCCCAAATGCTGCCGACGCTGGCGAGGTCCCCGTCGTATCCGCCGCCCGGTGGGCACGGTTCCGCCGCGGTGGGCGCGCCGCCGCTACCGGCCCGAGGAAGTGGCTGCGCCAACCGCGGCAAACGCGCGGCAACGCGCTGCACCGCACCGCACACTCTGAGGATTATAGTGAAAACTGAAGGAATAAAAAATAAGTGTCAGCCGGGGACAAACGTCCGCCATGATGTGTGTGGTGTGAGAAAGCGGCCGCTGCCTCAAGGCTTGTTTGAGGTTGGCGCGACCCGCGCAGCCGGCTCTTACGCGCGACCCGCCGGCCCGGCCCGACCTGGACCGCAGAGCCCCGCTGGGGAGCGCGGTGGCCGCGGACCTTGTCGCGGAATATTCCCCCCGCGAGATGTTGTCGCCGGGCCCCTCGCGGTCAGCCGCGGACGATATTCGGGCGGCGGGGCCGGCCGGCCAGCCAGATGTGCCGGAGATATAAATGCAGGTGGCTGGCAGCAAGGGCGTGAGCGGCGCAACGGGGCCTCGCGAAAACACCGCAAACCAAGCCGCGCCCGACGGCTTGATGCGGATCGCCTTCCGCGAAATTCGTGTGTGAGTGTGTTGTGTCCGTGATCGTGTGCGCGCCGATGCCGGTGCGTTCGCCGTGTGGTGGTGCCGGTGAAGGGGACCGCGCGGTGCGGGCCGGCGCGTACGTCGCGTGCACCGCCACTCAGTATGGGCGAGCGGCGGCCGGTTGTCGAGTCGTTTGCGGAGGAACGCCAACGACGTTCATTTTCTCACACTTGAAGCGCCTTGTCAGTCCGCGCCGCCGCCGCCGCACGCCACGACGGCGCGCCGCCCGACATTTTCCACTCCTCCTTCATGTCCAGGGAGAGGTCTTAATCACGGCGGCAGTGCGTGGAGTCCGGCGCGGCCCGCGGGGGAAGGCACTCGCGGTTTTAGATTGTTCACCCCCGGGCGTTGTAACCACTGCAGGCCGCACACATGAGGGGCGCGCGGAAATAAAATTCAGTCGCCGGGCTGGGCGTCGTGGCACTTTGCGTTGCCGTGTACCGTGTCGCCCGGGCCCGGCCCGCCGCCCCCGCACCTGTCCCGGTCCGCTCCGGTGCGCTGCTCCGGGGCCGCTCATGCTCCGGGGCCCCCGTCGTGGGAATTCCGGGCTCCGGGCCTCATCCGCGCTCATCCGCGCGCTCTCGGGCGCAGCAGACGCGCGCGCACCGCAGCCGGGCGGGCCAGGACGACATACGTCCCCGTTGGGCCGCGCTTAGTTTTGTCTTTGTACACCGCAGTGTGGTTCTCTATACGCCGATTTGCTTAGCAGCAGTGCTTTAAGCGCGTACGGTCCCGCCAACCCGATGTACCGTCACTGTCACTCTTGCAATTCAAATGCGTTCAAGCTAAGTAGACATGGCTTATGCACTACATTGAAAAACGTAAACATACCCATACCGACATTGAAAAGGTTACACGAGCTGTCCTTATTGTCTACTACCTTTTATTGTAGACATACCATGTCTACATGCACTGTGAAAAACATCCGCGCCAATTCACTACATTTGTTGGAATTTTTATGTACAAAAGATGTTATAAGTTTGCGACACCCCATTCTTACTTGTTCGTCAATTCCAAGTCGATATACGAAGAGCTTGAAAATTTACAATTTAAAATTGTGATTGTGCGACGCAGACCATGGAAAGTTTTCCCGTAAACCCACGACTATTTTTCAAAGTGTGTGTATAGCCAATGTACGCATTTGATTTGACAGAGTAGAACGTAGAAGCGGGCGTGTTTTATTTTTCAAACACGGCCCGACCCGTGTTGTTCCATTTCGTGACTTTGACCCCCCTGCAAGTAGTACTAAGTGCTTCAGTTCGGCGTGACTCGCGCGGGGGGCGGGGATCACACGCGGTGGCGGCGCTGCTGCCGCTGCTGCCGCTGCTGCTGTGGCTCTGCTGGGATTAGAATAATATTCGCGGCATTGTTATGCAAGTGGCCTTCGAATCTGTGTGGCTACAAATCGTGACTGCTGCACCAAGTTGGATGCAAAAACATCGCGCGGCGGTGGCGGCCGGCGGCGGCGGCTAGGTCGCACAATGCATTATGTGACAATGCGAGCACCTTTTGGCAAATTATTCCTCGCTCCGGCCCGCGCCGCGCTACGCCACGCCGAGCCAGTGCCGTTGGGCTTATTGCCGTGTGGGAGTCTTTCTCTGCCGCTTTGAGGGCGTTCCTAGCCCGCTGCTCACTGTAAAAAGACGACCGATTCTCAACTCCATAAAAGTAAAAAAAAGAAAGGCAACTGCAAATTGTATTGTCACATATGTATCGATTTTATGTTCTAAACTGTGCAAGGAAACATGAGTTTGACATGAAAACTATTCTCATTTTTTATCATTCCGATAATGCGTTGTTGCTTGGGTGATTAAATAAATAGAGCAGAGGGGTTTATTCGTAATGGCGGGGGCGATGACGAATCATTTGGACGCCTGGTGGTTAATTTATTCCGTGGAATGAGATGGCTATCTTGTCGTGAAAATGCGCTTTGTTCTTGACGAGCACGTCAACGCGACGTTTTTCTTTTCACTTAAACTCTTTCCTCCTTTTATCGTGGGGAAGAAGAGGTCCGCAAAAAAAAAAAACAACAACATACGGTTTATGTGAATAAAATGGTTTCTTCTTGCAGCACGCCGTCGTAGTACCGTATCGATTGGACGTGGCTTCGAATAGCATCACGGTTGTACAATGTGCAGTATGGTGTAAGAAAATGTCGGGCGGTTGAAGGTGGTGGGGGAGATCGCCTGCTGGGCCCGATTGGCTCGTGTCGCTGCTTGACGTGGCGCTGCAGGGCGCGGCGCGGCGGGGCGCGGCGTGTGGGGCGCAGGGGGGCCGGCTGGTCCCGGCCGGCCTGGTGATTGCCCCGATGGTTTTCTCAGCAAGGCGCCGCACTCTGACCCAGCAGGAAGTATATTCAAATACGCATTGGGACCGCCTGTGTGTGCGTGTGTGTGAGTACAGCGCGCACGCGTTCACAACACCGCGCCCCGCCACGCCCCAGACGCGCACTGCATGGCGGTTGCGGACCAACCGGATGGGAGAGAGAGAGAGAGAGAAGCAGAGAGCCAGAGAGGGCGCGAGCGAGCGAGACAGAAGGACGAGGGGGTTGGCGCGGGGGTCGTCTCTCGCGGAAGAGCAGCGGAGAGATTATACAAAATTATACGGAATTATGCTGCGAGTTATTTTCGTATTCGGAACATCTCTGCCCGCTCATTCGCACATGGTCGCTCGGCGTGCGGCGGGGACAAATCACTCTCGAGGGGGTGGCGGGGCGGGGCAGTGCGGGGAAGGGCCTCGCCTGGGCCTCGCGCCCCGCGACATCCCATTGGCTCGGGCGTTGCCATTCATTCTCTCGCGCAAGAGTCTCATTCATTTATTCATTGATTAACGAAAAAGTTTTTCTGCTGGGGCGGGCGTTGAACCCGCGGCCGTGGTGCGTTTGCATCTGTCCCGCGCGGCTGTGATTGGTCCTCGCGCCGCGCCACGCCCCGCGCGCTCCGTGATCGATGGGGAGAGTCGGAGGAGGAGGCGGGGCCGCGTGATGGCTCGGCCTCTATGGCTCGGCCCGGGAGCACCTCCGCGGCGGGGAAAAAGGCCTTAAATGGTTTCCAAAAGACCCTCGGCGCACCGGCGGCACGGCCACGAACAAGTCGAAAACGCTTTGGGGGCCCAATCGAAATTATACAGATTATAGGTCCGCGGCCGGGCCCCGCGCGGCAGTCCGCGGGCGCCGTTGGCTGCGAGTGTGTGTGTGTGTGTGTGTGTGTGTGTGTGTGTGTGTGTGTGTGTTGTGTGGATGGAGGAGCGACGCATGTAAACGAAGCGACACCCACTGAGAGAACCCCCAGCCAATTACTCACGCGTCCCGGGCGGGGCCGGGCGGCTGGGAAGCTCCAGCACGGCTCTGGCCGCGCTGGCCGCTACTGGAGTTGAGTTACATTATCAGGGCCCGATGAGTAATACCGCCACCGGGAGCAGCGCGCTGTGTAGCGTGCCGGGCGCGGTGGGCCTCTATCAGTGCCACTGACCGTTTTGGGGCTTATCAGTCATGTGTGGCACTGGCACTTTGAAAGAGAGCCGCGTAGACAAGCACTCCTCTTTTCACCCACCCCCCTTTCCACCCACTCGTAAAAATATAGCCTATTCATTTTGTCATTTCTTATTATTTTTTTTTATTTTTTTTTGTCTTTCCCATGTGACGGAAACAGGACATTGTGTTTCGATGTGGCGAGCCATTTTTTATTCCCATGATTTTTGGGCCCGCCGCTGCTGCTGAACGGCGCGGCTGCCAAGGTCCCTGGGCTGGGTGGAAACTGGGCTGCCCGTTTTGTATAATTCCGCCCATTCAGGCGTGGTCTCTTTGGCCCACACATCATCGGTCCATGTCACATTGTTTCTCACCAGATACCAGGGCAAGAGGGTGTTTCCCGCTATTTGATGACCCCAGAAACGGT